TTTAAGCTGCATGATTTTCTGATATCTTTGTCTTCCCTTCAGACACACTATAAGTTAATTCTACCCTGGGGCTGTAAGCAGATCCTGCTCCAAGAGCTAAAGTACTGCACAATCATATCTGCCTTAAGTCAGTGCTTGTTCTGACTCTGGATTTGTGCCAGAAGCAAACAATTATAAAATCTGCCAGAGTCCTGGGCATGTATTGCTTTATTTCCCCAGAGATGTTTACTAGGGGACTGTTGCCAGCTCAAGATCCATTAAATTGCTGAATCATTACATTTTTTGTTGGAGCCAGCTGGCAAGGATGTGATTCAAAACATTGATTGCCAGGTACCTTGAGTCAGTGCATTCTCAAAAATGCCTCCTTCTGTTTATTTGTATAAGGCCTTGAAGGATGCCACAGGATGCAGATTGTAACATGTAAATACTGGCAACATTTTACCAAGATGAACAGCAGCATTTATAGACAACTTATTGAATTTGTTTTTTCTGTATATGAGCTGCAGTTTTAATACCTCTTAGTGCAATGCTGGTGCAGTTTGGCTTTCAAAATTAGTTTGTAATTTTAACAAGTCACATCAGTAGTATTTTTTAAAATGACGGTTTTGGGGAGATTGGCAATGGTGCTAGCATTTATTAGATTGCTAATTCACACTTTTCTTAAATGTTCATAAAGTCCCAGTGAATTGTACCCCTCATTATACATGTAACATGAGAGAGAAAGGGAACATTTTCTGCTCTACCAAACAAGGTTTTTTTGGCTTGATGTTTTTCCTGCTGTGGCTAGAAACAAAGCATTTTCAGGAAGGCAACTATTTTCTCCAGCAAGATTGTGTAGCATTTCAGCTATAAATCTTTTTTAAACTGCAGATTATCGATGAGCTGATCATCTTTTTTTGCTGTTTGGACAGCTTTCATGAAGGGTTACTAGTTTTCCCCCTTCCTATAATCCTTTCATTTTCAGCTAAAAGATCAAAATGGAGGTGAAAAAGGGACGCTTCTATATTTTCACTGCATTGTTCTTTTCAGCCATAAACTTATCATGCAGAAGATGCCTGTGCTGTTTTTAATGTTTTCCCAAAACAGTTTCTGCTTTCATTAGGTCATGTTTAATATTAATGCACAGCAATTGCTTTTGGCAAAAGTGGTGCTTCACTTCTGAACTGCTTTGTGAAAAGAATAAAATGCCCATCATTTTTTTAAAAGTGGCATAGCATATAATCCAAAGTCCTCTCTTCTCCCCTCAAATCTCATAATGGAGTGTGATGCACATAGTGAGTAATATTGGGAACCTTGCGTTATATATTTTCTTTTGTTTGCGTGTGTCAGAATTGCTTCTGGAGTCCTTTCAAGAATCCAATGGGAGTTGCAGTAGCTCTCAGTGAAAACAAGCTGTTGGCAGGAGGTGTTTTTAGCTGATGGATCTTCTTTACAACAGATACTTAAAAGAGTACATGACTAAATGGACTGCTGACCTGGCTCAGTCTGGGAAAGTAGTAATGAAAGCATGCTTAGGAGGAAGAAAAATGAGGTGATACAGTGTTATTTAGCCAGAACAGACTCTGAGTCCATTGGTTTTTTTAAACCATATGGGATCTTACATGCAAAATCCCTGCACATCAGTGGGATATGGACCCCTCAATTTCCTGATGGGGTTTGTCACATTTATGCTAACAAGCACATCGGATGTATTGAAAAAAGAATATAACTTCTGTGTTGACATTGGTAATTGCAGATTAGTTTGAGACTCCTCTTGTCTTTTTGTCCTAGCAGAAGAGTTATAAAACAGTGTTTTTTTTTTTTGCCTACGTCAAAAAATGTGGTACCAGTTTGATTAGTGACTGTGTGCTGTTTCAAGTAGAAAGGCTCAGGAAAGAGTTGTTGGTACATGTTCACTTTCCTTTGTAGATGTGATGGACTGGGTAATAAATTCATACCTGTCAGGTTTTTGACCAGAGCAGGATGGAACAGATCAGGGCTCCTAGGCTAGGGACCTGGGAATATTTTGTCTGTAGACTCTCTAATATGGGATCATGAGTGTATGGCTGAAGCATTTATGAACACAGTTGGATGTGGTCCCTGCCTGTCGATGTTAGTGTGAGTGCAAGTTTGGAGGGCTTTGCAGCTTATCTCAACATCACAGTGCAAGGTGGACCCCAGACTGGTGAGACAGAAGGCTCATATGTATCTCAGTTTCATATGGGAGGCTGGGGAAGACCCGTCACACTAGGTTTAAACTCTCATTTAACACGTATGCAATAAGTTAACTGTGAGTATCCTACTGAGGGCATGATCAAATTCTGAGAGAGCTTTTCCAGTGGAAATCCACAAGAATCTATCATATGCTATGAAAACCAGTTACAGGGATGTAGCAGTGGAAAGTTATCTTCAAAAAATCCTTTAAACTGTTTTGATTTGGGAGAGAAAGGTAAAGACATTTAGAAACATTTGGAGTTCCTTCTTTAAATATATATTGATAAGGATTGACAGGTTAATTTAAACTCTTCCTGAATGTTCAGAACATCGTTTTGACAAATGGTCTATAATAAACTGCTCTTGAACTGGAAAATGGAATTATCACTGGTAAGAAAGTGTATGATGCAGATTAGTTCTGATTTAAGGGGCTTGATTCTTCTTTCATAAACTCGTATGCATATAAGGAATAATCCTAGTTAAAGTCAAGAGAATTATGCCAAACATAAGGCTAGTGTGCGACTAGAGTCCAGCATCTGTAGTCTTCTGGGTTCAGATCCTCAAAAGTGCCTAAATCATGTTGATGTCAATTGGTATTAGGGGCCTAATTGCCTTTGGAAATCTGGGCCCTGGATTTTCATTGAGCTGAACTCCACTATTCACTTACAAAAAACAGAAATGGACTGTGTGAGAAACACAGAAAATATATTTTTTTCCAAACTGAGAGAATCAAAATGTATTTTCCTTTTACCGTTTCTGTATTGCCTTTGCCTTCAACATTTTTTAGAACTGAATAGCCCTGCACTTTGCTCACAGCTTAACTGAAAATCTGGATTGATTAGGCAAAAGCTGTAGTGTAGTTATTGCTCAATTTATAATCAATTGTGTAATTAGACTATGTGAATATAAAAAGAAAATTAGTGAGATGATATTATCATAAATATACTGAAGCATAATTTATTTAATCTTAGTTCTTTCTGTACAATTAGGCACACAAATCATGGTGGACCCTCTCACCATCTTTAATTCTGAACTGATACGGTTGTATGGTTTTATTAACTAGTACATGTCACTGTATTACTCATTCTAGTACTTTGTGTTCAGATTTCCTCTGCTTAAGGTAGTATTTTTTTAAATCTATTGGTTAATGTTTCAGGTGACACATACAAATACTAACTATTCCATCTTTTGGACAACACCAACAATCTCCCCGCCCCTCCCCACTAAAGATACAGGCCTACATTTTGAAAAATGAATAAGGTATTTGGGTTCTTCAACTTTTGGATACCCAATTTTAGATATCTGAAAATCACATTTGTTAAGGTTTCCAAAAACTGGCATTTCATCATTTAGCATGAATAATTGGCAATGGATGTTTTATTTGGGCAGATCACCAAAAGGAAACAGAGCCTTCTGGGAGCTAAAGGATGACCTTGAATCCTTTCCCCTATGCCATCTCCCTCAGCAATATCTGTCACATCAAGGATGGAATTTGGAAGGTGGTATGCTCTATGTAATCCTCTGAAAATATATCAACTCTATTTATGTCTTGGAACAGAGTGCCAATTGTGCTGCAATTATTTAATGGACTCATTTTTAAACTTTGAAATTAATGTGTCATTGTATTTGGCTGAAGTGCAGTGCTTTTCATCTTTAAATAAATTGGCATGGACTCATTCAGATTTGATTACATTGGAATGCCTAGTGACTGATGTAAAATCATAAGTTTAAGGTTATCCTCAAAGTCCTTTTTGAAGTTGTTGTGTACTGTACTCAGGAAGAGTTTTGTTTTATATTGGTAATAAAAAGGACCATTAGTAATCCTCAGGAATGGAAATAGTGGAGTCAGGAAGTATGATCAACTCAATCATTTGCTTAAACTGCTTAATTTAGATGTGTTTAGTTGTGGTGTGAGTGATATTGTGTATGCATTTGTTTTACTTATTTCAGGGTTTTGCTGGCTGTATTTTGGCAGCCACATTCTAAGTCCATTGTTTTGGGGTAAAAGAGGGAGATTATCTACCACGCAGGATGAATTTGTAAACGGGGCTTCTGCAAAAAAGCAATTACTTGTTCTTAAAAAGATATTAAAACTTCAAACAATTTCATGCTAATTTTTGGGACCTATCATTAAGTCAATGAGAATGTTGCTATTGGTGTCATCGGGCTAGACTGTGGTCTTTCAGCTTAAATATAACAAAACCCTATAAATTAGATATTATATCACACATTAAAGTAGCTTTTCCTAATGTGCTAGATCAAGATAACAATGAACAGTGTAGATTTTTAAAGAATTTTATATTCTGGCTACTTAGAAAATGGAAATTTTGCTCCTCAGTTTATACTGGTCCTTGTAGCAAGTATGTGAAGGCTATAGCTTCACTGCAGAGTAAGCTTGATATAACTATACTTGAATTAATGCATCTTGAGTAAGCGTAGCTCTAGTAAGCATGGCCACACTGGGAAATAACACCTGAGCTATATGAGAGTGACTGGATTATTTTATGAGGGGATTGTGAGCAGCTGATGTGTTATGCTAAATCTAGCTGTAAACTGCATATCTATGTCCCCTGACAGCTCAAATTAAAAAAAGCATCACCACATACATGTAAGTTAGGAGTTTTTGTGTTCAGAAAGCACTTGAATTATAACTTGAGTTACACTCTGACAGTGAAGACAAGTCCAAAAAAGGAAAGGGATGTGTGTTTTTGATGGGGTGGGGAGCATGGGACATTAAGAGTTGTGGTAATCCTACTGCCTTTTTACTGTTGTACAGAAGGTTTTGACTTTTCTTTTTCACATTTTAGGAAGCATTCTCTTTAAATGTATGTCTGTGGAACACGAAAGAATTACAGAACAACAGGAAGAAATACTGTCAATTCTAGAAGAAAAATATCCAGAGCTGCCGCCTCGAGAAAACATTATCTCTGTTTTCCAGGCAACTCCACTGAAGGCTCAAGGTAATGAAGTTTTACTTTTATTCCTTGGGCATCTTGACAATTCTGTCATGTGACCTCATCTAGGCAGAATGGATCATCCTGTAAGATGATGCAAAATTTAAAATGATGGTTACTTTTCAGTTATATGCTGACAAAGTAGAACATAGAAATCTTGTTTCTGTGAACTGTCAGTGCTGTCTGAAGTTCTAAAGATCGTGGTCATACAGGTAATGAATATTGTTATGTGTGTGTGTGTGTGTGTGTGAGTGGTCATACAGGTAATGAATATTGTCGTGTGTGTGTGTGTGTGTGTCTGTATGATTTAATGGCTCCAACACAACATGATGGGCTATAGCCACTGCTCCAGCCATAGGAAGGATGCTCAGCCACACCCTTCTGAATCTTACATAGAGGTACGTTTCTGAGTTCGCATGAGTCAGCCTTTGGAATTCCTTGCCTGGGGAGGTTGTAAGGGCTAGTACTATAACAGGGTTTAAAAGAGAACTAGATACATTCATGGAGGTTAAGTCCATTAATGGCTATTAGCCAGGATGGGTAAGGAATGGTGTCCCCAGCCTCCGTTTGTCAGAGGGTGGAGATGGATGGCAGGAGAGAGATCGCTTGATCATTACCTGTTCTGTTCACTCCCTCTGGGGCACCTGGCATTGGCCACTGTCGGCAAACAGGATACTGGGCTGGATGGACCTTTGGTCTGACCTATGGCCGTTCTTATGTTTTTATGTTATGCTGGTGAACTGACCGTAGCACTAATTAACGCTTGAAATAGCAAGAAATTATTTTAAAATAATATTTCTTGTTCATTGTCATTCAAAAATGAGATGGAACCCTCCATGCCTCCAAAAACATTCACTATCTGGGTTTGAAGGTGCTTTAAGCCTGGGCTAGCTAGCCTGACTGTGGTATAGTCTAGAACTCTGATACTAGACTATACCACATATTCTGTGAGGCTGGTAATCTACACACATTGCAGTGAAGACGCAGAATAATTCACTTGAGCCTCAATAGTCTTCCAGTGTTTTCCCTCACTTCCCCCCATTTGCCCATGTGGACAGAGAAGTTCTCTTATAATCCAGAAAAACATGGAGGCTAGGATAAAAAAAAATACCATTTCCCACGTGGATCAGAGAATGCAACTTCAATGCAGCCTCCCTTTGAGAAGCCAGGTGAGAATGGCGTCTGCTGGGTTGGCTTTCTTCCCTGACTGCATGAGCTAGATGGAGCTGGTCAAGGGCAAAGGAGGGTGAATGTATGAAATCTACCACATGGCTTGGCCCAGGTGACTGGCCCCAATACTGAGCATCAAACTTGAAATACATTGAAACCAGGAATGGGATAAAATTTCTGAATGTTGGGTCTGATTTTCCTAAAAACACTGATATAAATCGGTAGCAGTGCCTCTGAAATTAGTGGAGCTATATTGAAGTGCAACTGGTACAAATGACTTGGGCAGAATTATACTCATTGTTCCTTATATATTATTCGCTGTGCTGCAACATCCAAATAAAGGAATACACAAAACCAAAGCCACATAAAAACAGCTTCTGTGTTCATATGAACAAAATTCAGTGAAACAAAGACGCTTCATAGATAGAATACAAAAGTGAATAAAGCTTGATTTCGGTGATTTCTGCAGGTTGAGTAAAAGCAGCTGACACAGTTCTAGTGCTTCACAGCTCTGTTATGTACCTGAGACTGTACTGTAAAAAGAAAACAAAATGAGCCACTTGCTACTGTTGGAAGCAGTTTTAGTATGGCCTTTGTTGCATTAATTTTAAGTGCCCCTTAACAGAGAAGTAAAGTACCAGCTACGTTGTTCTGTATTTTATCAATATTGTTATGATTTTATTACCGATTACATAGTTAGCATTGCATATGTTTATGTGCTCTATGAAGGTAGGTAGTGATGAGATTCTGAGGTCCTTTGCAAGTCAGATGAACGTTTTGAAGCCGTTCAACAGAATAGCAGTTCCGAGTTCCGATGAAATTCTGAGGTCCTTTGCAAGTAAGATAAACGTTTTGAAGCCGTTCAACAGAATAGCAGTTCCGAGTTCCATCTAATAGGCACACCTCGTTTACAAAGTAATCTGTCAGTGTAATTGGGGGTCCATCGGTGTTATTCTGGGCACAACGAAGAGAATAGGTATTCTGATTTTTAAAGACTCTACTGTACATATATAGTAATTTTTAAATGAAAATATCAAGATGAACAGCCAGTTCATCTTGTCAATAGATTGTTGGTGGAAGAGAATCTAGCTATTGCATTCATTGATGAGCGGTTGTGAGTTATATGGCTGTTTCAGTCATGAATGGTTATTGGTCTTTATTACCAGCATTATCAGTAGGGATAAATTGACCACATTCCGATGTATTATGCATTATTTAAATATAGTTTTAGAGAATGACAGAGAGAGAGAGAGTTTTAGCTGGACATCACCAATTACAGTCAATGAAAGCTATATGGTTAAATGAAATATTTTGATACCTATGTAAAGGAATCCAGATTCCACAATTAAAGAGTCACTCACTAGATGATAATGATGAAATCTTCTGTGTCAACAATACATACACTAATCTGTCCCTGAGAGTTTTATTAATCTTGAATCTCACACAGAAAATATCCATTAGTACAATGTTAGTTTAAGGAAGATCACTGGTAGAATGTACCTTCCAGTACGTATCTTAATCGCTTCAGCTCTGAATCATGTTACAACAATACTACAGGCAGTCCCCGGGTTACGTACAAGATAGGGACTGTAGGTTTGTTCTTAAGTTGAATCTGTATGTAAGCCGGAACTGGCATCCAGATTCAGCCGCTGCTGAAACTGAGCAGCAGCTGACTACAGGAAGCCCGAGGCAGAGTTGCTCTGCCCCAGGCTTCCTGGAATCAGCCGCTGATCAGGTTTCGCA